ATACGTAGTATAGGTGAAGTAGAGTTCGTATCCTCAGGGAAATGAATAATTCTCTTTTTATGAAACTTAGTAAATAAAGGGGGGATTTGGATTGAGTGATTTAATTTAATTAAAAACTAAGATGAGTGACCTATATGAGATTTAATTCAAAGATAAAAAGTACTTGGCATTGCTACTTTCCACTTGTTGATATATTTTAGTCGATCATTGTTATATCTATAACTTATTTCCTCTCGAATACTCAATCGGAGAGTATATCCACTTCATCGAGGGTAGTTATTAACAACAACCGTTCATTAATAACCTTTACTATCAATCAAATATAGAACAACGCCTTATACCAATTTAATAGTAGCATTTAATCTTTCTAACTCTTTGATGAAATCAATTGAGATTGATAACCTCAACACAACGGTTTCAGTTTAACCAACAAAATTAATCCCTCTTAAGTTTATTAACCACGATCGTGCATTAATAAACCGAAGTTACTTACTTGTGAAACCATCAACGATTAACCATCGGTTCGTTGATCGTTTCTAGTAATAATTAATATATGAAACAAAACTAGTTGATCCTTTAAGTAATGTTCAAAATATTAATATGAAATATGAATAAGAATTAATTAATATTCATGGAAGAATATTATTAAAGAAGATGAATCCTACTATAATTAATATCAAGATGTTAACTAATTGTCATCTTAGCAACACTCTCCAATATTAATATAGAGGAAGAAAATAATATTCTAACTAATGTCGAGATGTTAACTAATTGTCATCTTAGCAACACTCCCCAACATTAATATAGAAATGGTATTAAGGAAAGAACTATTAATTAATATTCAAGGAAAGAAGTTAAGAAAATAACTCACAACTTTAATAATCAACAAGCTTCAAGAGCAACACCAAGAATGGAAGTTTAACTCCTCATTTGGAGACTAAACATGATATAAAAATATAAGAAATGATATTCTAAACTGAACTTAGGAGTATAGAAGAAGGGATGATTAAAAGTGAAGGAAAATGAGGTTATTTATAGGTGTTTTCAAGACCTATAGCCGGATACCCGGCCGGGTATTTTGACATACCCGACCGGGTATTTACCAAATCAAATATTTTCCCATGTTTTTGTGTCTTCTGCACGTTCTTTGGTCCGAAATCACTTCATACCTGACCGGGTATATGGAATACTCGACCGGGTATTTGCTAATTTTGCAGCAATTTCCTTTGTCACTTCATACCCGCCGGGTAAAGTCCATACGCGACCGGATTTTGCATAAAACTCAGGGTTTTCCATCCTTCTTGCATCCAAACCTATCCTAAACTTATTGCTCAACTCACTACAACTTACAACAAACAATAAAATGCTAAAAATACGATCACAATCAAATGCAAACTAACAACTACAAACTTGCATAATACTAGTAAATAAATATTACAATTGATAATAAAAATGTACACTTAGGCACTAACAACTAGTGCCTATCAACTTGCTAATACTTTCTTTTCACAAATAAACTACATGGAGCATGCACCATCCGCTGACTATAGTTGATCCTTCGTACTATTCTTCATTTCTTTACAAGTGCAAGCTGCAACTTACTTACGGATAAACTAATACCAAACAAAAACTTCACCAACCACTCCTTTTTTATTTTTAAATACAAAAATGTAAGAATTCATGGAAACCCCAAACATGATAATGAATACAAAAATAATAAAAGTCAAAATAGTAAATAAGTTTTAAAAAATCAGAGTAAAAATATAAAATAAAATAAAACGTAATAAAAGTTGAAAACTTGAAAAATCATAAGTTAGATATTAAAATTAGATGAATTTGATACTTATAGCTTAAATTAGAAAAACGTAAAATAAGCTCATTAAATTAGGAACACAAAATTAAAAAAATGAAAAACATTAAACATAGTTTAAAATGTCAAAAATATAAAAATCAGAACTGTATAGAAAAGTTTTAAAAAGTTACAAAAAAGAAGAACGTTAGATTTATAAATAAGTAAATAAGATAAAAAAAATGTTCTGAAGCTATTAAACAATATCAAAAGTAAATACAAACTTTTGTGATGGAGTGGTTATTTAAAAAAACTTGAAAAATATGCACATTATCAGAATAAAAATAATATGAATATATAAAATTTAGAACATTCAAGAAAATCAAATCGATTTTATAAATAATTAAAAAGTTAAAATATTCAAAACATTATATAAAACAGACAATTAATGTAACCTAAAGAGTGTAAAATTCAAAAACTCGGTAATTAAAAATATAAAAAGCTAAAATAATGAACCTGAAACATAATTAAAAAAAATATATGAATTCAGTAATGTAATAATTCTTAGAGAACTTAATATTTTAATTATGATTAATATTTAAATATTAGCTTTTGTTTCATATTAGTGTGTCATTAACTCTCTCCCAATCTGGAATGTGATTCATATACTATCGCTTTTCCTTCTCGATGCTATTTGAGGACACTTTCTCCCCGCAATTCCCAGCAAAATACCAACCTTTCAAGTGAAGAATAACCCAATCATAACAAACTAGTGAAGAACCATCTCCCACACTGCATAAACTCACTTGAAACAGTGAAGCAATCCCAATAGTTTAAAAAAGTAAATATATAGATAATATATTTAACTTGGTGAGCACCAAGAACGAAACAAAAACCTTGCCAATCACTTGAACAATTAATAGCAATATAGCGCTTTCTTCCTGCAAAGCTTAGGGCGACACCAATTATTTTTTGAACATTCATCAAAATTAGAAAACAAGTCCATTCTAAAAATAGTAGTTGCCTACTAGGTCTGAACTCAATAAATGAAGCTTAAAAGAGGGGTGTACAAATTTAAAATCACTATGTGCAAGCTTTCTTTGGTTTATATATTTTGTTCTTTCAAACATCATTGTTGTAAGGCATAGTTGCTTTGTTTACAAGATTTGCATACCTTTAAGGGAAGTATCAATGGCATCCTTACTTAAAAATAAAAAAGCACAAACATGGCATTATTGGAATTCAATGAAATTAATTTACAGAGAGAATTCAATCCAATTCATCTAGGCATTTTCAATGACAAGTTACAGACAATAGATCATCAAGGAATCAAGTACTACCAAGCTTTCTCATGGAACATAAAACTCAAAAAACTGCATCAACAGATAAAGCATACCATTTGGAGTTTGGACCAACTCATCTGAGCAACATAGCAATCAGCTGCAGCATCTGTCCAAGACATAAAACATATAAAGATCTTTCGTGGCAGTGAAAGTTCAAAAGACATGTACAACACCTGATGGCAAAAGCAAACTTTCAATTGAGTTCTCAAAAGACATCTATTTATCAATGATTTTTTTCTCTTCGATTCTAGTTAATACCTGTAAATATTCAAAAATGGTTGTGAAAGGGAGAAGCACGTATAGAAATAATACATCCACATTGTAAACAATCCAAATACATCCACAAACATTGTTGAATGAATGAAACTGCAGATATATGTTATTATCTAAGAAATATATGCTTAATTGATTATCAATTGATAGGTCTAGTGAAAAGATCCCACCAGAGGAGGCTACAGTTTAGTACATGGGATGTTATAAAGATCTGGTGCAACGCATTAGCATCATTTTTTGGTTCATGTGATGCTTCCTTTAACCGTACAACAAGTGTAGTATCCGAAGAGTGCATATATACCATTGCCTGTAAATAGACACCTATCAACTTCCCAGCACGTATGCCTTTGAGTGATTTGTTCACTTCAGTTCTCAACTCATAATAAAATTAGTTCAATTACCTTAGTATAATAATACCTATCTAACGTAGATCTGAAGAACAATTGTAAGTAAATCTCAATTAACTCCAAGTGCTTTTTTCACTATATGAATTATAAAAAATAAAAGAGAAAGTAGAATGCAGAAAATCCTAAATACATACCTGCAAATCGGAAATCAGCACGCAGTTAGGCCGTGATTCAGAAAGCATAGAGTTTCCAAGCATGAACAGGCAGAGGGAGGAGAACAGAGGCACAGGACGGAGAGCATAGGGTGGCGGGGCAGAGCGAAGTCGCATAGAGCGGAAGGCAATGTTAAGAGCGGAGGGAGGAGGATCTGAGGTCGGAGGTGCAACCGGAGCTAGGCCAGAGGAGAAGAGCCACACGCGCCTCTGTGCTCCAGTTCGTAGCAAAGTTCGACAGGCTGTGCGGAAGGAATGAGGATTTGCAGATCAATCTCTGATTATGAATTAGGGGTTTAGGTCGTTGAAATAAAAAGATAAATGTGAAAGAGGAAAAGTCTATAATTGAAAGGTAAATAATCAGGTGACATAAATGAAATGCAACTGAAAAAAGTGGACTGAATGGGATGTTTCCACTCCTAATGGTGCCATTCGATCGGCCCATTGATCGGCAACCAGGACCGGATAGAAATAGGTATGTTAGATAATTAATGAACATACGTTCTAAACACCTACTCCCTCCGTCCCATAAAATAGTTCTCACTTTCCTTTTTGGGCTGTACAAAAAAATAATTCTCATTTCCTTTTTTGGAAAGTTTTATGTGGCTACCATTCATTTACATTTTTCTTACTCAACCGCAACCATACATTTCCACTTTATTCCAACTTTCTAAAACTTCGATCCAAATCAAAGTGGGAACTATTTTATGGGACGGAGGGAGTATTAATATTGAATATGTCTAATTCTCTTGTAATAGTACGCTATTTTCATATTCTGACATTGAGATATTATTATTATGTTGTAGCATCTCAAAAGATATAGGGGCGTTTTAATTTGGAAAAATAGTAAACAGTAAATAGAAAGTAATTGTGAAAAAACATACTCCGTAGTAGTAGCATATACTTCCTCAGTAATCTTTTTGACAACACACAACTTTGACCATTAAAATGTTTCATTTTTTATTAGTAATGATCGAGATGAATTTTATAATATTTTTCATAAAAATGATTTATATTATTTAATAAATAAATCGTAGTCAAACTAGAATAAGGGAATAACACAAAATTCAACAATGTTGCAATTAATAAATAAAGAAAGTGATACAAAAAATAACGAAGGTGATGCATTAATTAAATAAGATTACTATACTTGGATCCTACCAATCTGACAATACTCATTGAATTCAGATTGAATTACAAGAGAAAGAGAAACATAAACATAAATTAGCTTCCAGCTGGCTGCAGGCTAACACAGTGGTGATGAAATAGATAGATTAGGGCCGGGCCTTTCTTGATGATATATAGATTCTTTCCAGAATCCGGGTTATATTACTGTATTATGAAGAGTCCGGAGCTTTTTTGCGGTAGAAAACCCCAACACACACCGCCGCCGAAAAGCAAAAAAGAATTCCAACACCGATGAGAATTCGTAACACTACAGACAAACCTCCTGCGATGGTCAACAGCCTACACACCCCACAAATATATAAAAATAAGATCAGATTTATATATTTCGTTCCAACAAACACTAGTGAAAAACGCTGATCAGAGGCGCTTCAAATGGACTACGTGCGACGCTTCGAAGCGCCTCTAAAAAATGTGCCGCAAATCTCATTTGATATGATGCTTAAGAGTGACTAAAGTGACTAAAGTGTATACTAGTATGATCCTAGTTATTGGCGGAACCAGAAATCTATAGTTAAGGGGGTCGGTTCTTAAAAAATTTACATTGCAGTGGCCAAAGTTTAAAATATCAGCATATTTTTCTATAGATTAAAAGTAGTTATACATAATATATAGGGAAAATGGAAACTAATAATCCAACATTTTAGCGGTTTTCTCACAATAGTCCCACCTTTTGATTATTCATGAATAATCCAACCTTTACACCCCATCTTCATTCACTGGTCTCTGACCGATTTATGACATGTTATTCCAAATTATTTTCTTATCATAAGGTAGAAATTATGGTAAAATGTTTTACAAGATAAGAAAAAAACTTGGAATAACATGTCATAAATCGGTCAGAAACCAGTGAATGAAGATGGGGTGAAAAGGTTGGATTATTCATGAATAATCAAAAGGTGGAACTATTGTAAGAACACCGCTAAAAGGTTGGATTATTAGTTTCCATTTTCCCTAATATATATAAGAATTTTTTTCTTGGAGGGTATTAGTTAAATATAAAATGCTTAACTAATCATGTTATTTGTGTGTATCTTGCTTGCATATATGTATACGTTCAAAGCCCATTCCATTGTTTACGGGCGCAATCAAATTACGTTTTTCTGGGTTATGTTTTCAATCAAAATTAAATACGAACCAAAGTAAGCATATTTTTAATTCGATTGATCTTAGTCCAGACCAGAATGAATCTGATCTGATCATAATAAAAAATAGTTAGTCCAATAAAAAAACATCCAAATGTCCCATTCCATTTTTCCTTTTAAAAAACATGGAATCGCAATTTGATTAGTTTAGTTTATTTTGACTCAATTAAAATTTGGTCTTTTGTTTTTATTAAAGTATATTGTTATTTGATTAAAATATAAAACCGTACCATAACGGCAAAACAAATTTAATTTGCAATGTACATAAAAAAGAGGTTGTTTCAATAATATTATTAAAATGAAACTTATTTACAAAAATGTGACTAATAGTTACTGTAGTATAGTTTCATAGTTACTTAAGTGTAAAAATTAAACATAAGTTACTATGATTAAGTTGCAACTATAGTCACTATACTAAGGACGTCACATTTTTGTAAACAAAATTTATTTTGATCATATAAACGTAGTTATTTCTGAAAAATAAGGAAACATGCTTTAAAATATAAAGTACATTAACTTAAATTATTGTTTATCAATTTTCCTATTGTTTATATATACATGTGAGTGTGTGTGTTTAAGAGAAAGAGATTTTATTAATACAGGCCAAAAAGTGTACAAAAGGAAAAAAGGAAAAAATAACCGAAACATACTGCATAACTGCATAAGTAATACTCCCCTCCGTCTCTCTATTATTGTCTCATTTCCTATTCACTTTGTCAACACAAATAACTCTTAATTTCTTACTTTATTTATCAATTTTTTATCAAATTTGATTCTGGTTTTTGCGACTTTGTAAACTTTTTAATGTAGTTTCTGAATATGCAATTTTTTTCCCTAAAAATAATTCTAGTGCGGACAGAGATTTGTTTGCTTTATCGTCAGTCAAGCATCGTAAACCGCAATGGGACAATAACAGAGGGAAAGTACCTACAAGGCTGCAATATGTACTATTCATAAGTAGTAGGAAATATATATAATACACACGCGCGCACACATGTAGTGAAGAAATAATTATTGAGTATGTAAATATGATTTGGTCAGAGATTTGACATTTTAGTCTTATAACTTTACTCATTCGCATATTTAGTTGTATAACTAATTAATTTGATTTGAAAAAAAAAGAACATTTTAAGATCTTTTCCATCCGAAAACACACTTTCTGAAAAAAACCACATAAAAAACTCGAAATCAACGTCAAATATTCCGTCGATATGTGTAATAAAAATTTATTAGTCACCAGACCAAAATTTCAAGAAAATAAAGATTCATGACAAAGCGTAAGTATAATAAAAAATTACTACTATATTAATAGTTTTGCTCAAAAAGGCGAGGATTCGATTCAGTAGTTATTATACTCCCTCCGTCCCTTATAACTTTGCCAACTTTCCTTTTTTGCTTGTCCCGAAAACTTTGCCACTTTCCCTTTTAATCAATCAATTTGTGGTTCCTGTTATTTTTCTCTCCTCTGCACAAATATCTACCACACAGTTTTTACTTTATTATTTTATGTGTTGTTCAAACTTGGCAAACCTTTAAGGGATGGAGGGAGTACATAGCAGATACAAAATTTTATTTATTTAGCATATAATTACATCTTTTCACATCCACAACACAAATTTCTCTCCTATATACATTGTCACTTTAATGTAATTATAATCACATAAATCTTCCATCCTTATTTGATTCGTTTTTTTATGAACATAATTTTATTTAATAAATAAAAAATTAAATTGTTAACATTGTTTCAAAAACATGAAATTATATCAATCAATTAGTGGCAATTATATCAATCAATTAGTGGCTAACGCCTCTGAGATTAGTTACTGAGTTCATATTTGAAGCAAAAAATATTTGCAATGCTGGTTTCATATCAAAGATATATGCCTCATAAAAAATTATTTAGTTTGATCTTTTTGTAAAAATCAAAGCACAAATGAAAATACTATAACAGTGGATACAAAATAATTAGCGACAAGACGTAGGAATCTAATAGCTAAAGATAAATATCACTGATGGAGTATATGGGTCCAGACCCTATAACCCACATACTCCTACTGTTACGAATAGGACCAAGGCCCCGGGGACGTACGTCTTCTAGCACGTAACAGTCACCAGGGGACGAACGGCCTCCAGCACTCCATCAGCCAGACGTACGTCTCCAGGGACTTCATCTGCCACAGTCAGACGTACGTCTCCAAGGACTTTGTCTGCCACAGCCAGACGTACATCTCCAAGGACTTCGTCTGCCACAGCCAGACCGCCCAAACGTATGTCTCCAAGGACTTCGTCTGCCACAGCCAAACGTACGTATCCAATGACTTCGTCTGCCACACCTCTGTTAGCCAGACGTACGTCTCCAAGGACTTCGTCTGCCACAGCCAGACGTACGTCTCCAAGGACTTCGTCTGCCACACCTCCGTCAGCCAGACGTACGTCTCCAAGCCTTCATGTAACGAATGGCTTCATCAGCACCGTCGTCCCCAGATCACAAATGGCTCCTCAGACTCTGCGTGATCCTTCGTCTCCAACGGCCGACGTCCTCATATCACGGCAGACGCTCGGTCTCAACTTGATCTTTTGCATCGACACAGCAGACCCTCGGTCTCAACGTGATCCTTCGCATCGACACGGCAGACCCTCGGTCTCAACGTGATCTTTTGTATCGACACGGAAGACCCTCGGTCTCAACATGGTCATCATACTCTGACGACCGGCCTCATCCTCTCACTTTGTGGATAAGGACCGTTGGACTTTGGATCGGCTTCTCAGCATTTCCGCCCTCAGATCACAAACGGTACCTTGGCCTCGGCGTGATCCTTCACCACTAGGTCGGCTTCCTCATCGCCGAGCGTCTTGAGCCAACGATCGGGCTCTTCACCCCTTCCAGGATGGCGACCATCGCCCTTACGACGAACGGTTCCTAAACAACGTACGTCCTCAAGTCACAAACGGCCCCATGGCCTCCACGTGATTCCGCACCTCGAGACCGATCTTAGCCATTCCTTTACAGGATGGCGATCGTTGCATGGATTTTTGGACCGACCCCTCAGTGTCATCGTCCTCATATCATGACCGGCCCATCGGCCTTGGCGTGATTATTTTAAGACCGGCTCCCCCAGCGCCAAGCGTCTTGAACCAACGATCGGGCTCTCCATCCCTCCCAGGATGGGGACCATCGTCTCTACCTGACGAACGACTTCATCATCCCCTCGTCCTCATATCACGGCAGACCCCTCGGTCTCAACGTGATCCTTTCTCTCAAGACCGGCCTCCTCAGCGCCGAGCGTCTTGAGCTAGCAAACGGGCTCGCCATTCCCTTCCTGGATGGCGACCCTCGCCTTCATGCGACTAGCGGCTTCATCAACACCCCGTCTTCATATCACGGCAGACCCCTCGGTTTCAACGTGATCCTTTCTCTCAAGACCAGCCTCATCAGTGCCGAGCGTCTTGAGCTAGCGATTGGGCTCGCCATTCCCTTCCTGGATGGCGACCCTCTCCTTCATGCGACGAGCGGCTTCATGAGTACCCTCATCCTCAGATCACGGCAGACCCCTCGGTGTCAACGTGATCCTTTATCTCAAGACCGGCCTCCTCAGCGCCGAACGTCCTGAACCAGCGATTGGGCTCGCCATCCCATCCTGAATGGCGACCATCACCATTGTATGACGATCGGCTTCATCAATGCCTCATCATCATATTACGAACTGGCACCCAACGCCAAACGTCCTCAGATCACGGCAAACCCTCGGTCTCAACGTGATCTTTTATCTCAAGACCGGTCTCAGCCATTCCTTTATCGGACGATGACCGTTGCACGGATTTTCGGACCGCCCCCTCAGTGTTGTTCGTCCCCACATCACTATCGGCCCCTCGGCGTTGGCGTGATCATATATCTCAAGACCGGCTCCCCCAGCGCCGAGCGTCTTGAGCTTACGACTGGGCTCGCCATTCCCTTCCTGGATAGCGAACGTCACCTACATATGACGCACGGCTCATCACCATCGTTGTCCTCACCAGCAGACGGGTGTCCCTCAGTAGACGGACACCGCTGCAGTTACACACCCAGGCCGAAGGGTTCACCCCTTGGAGTTCATTTCAGGGGCATCCGGTGTGCTCTTTATCCCTCATTAGGATTTTTTCCCACGGGGTTTTTTCCAAGTGAGTTTTTAACGAGGCACCGCCCCATTGTGGATCAAAAGGTGTCGACCCTCGGCCCCCTATTTGAAGATGTGCATTGCTCTACTCCTCTTCACCTCATTACATGAGCCTCGAGGAGTGATGGACCGGGGGACTATATCGGCCCCAACATACATGAAAATATCCAGAAAGCACCAACAAGCACCAACCACCAAGTGGTACCTCCGTCGGCCATGTCTCCATCGGCCAAGCAAAGAGAAAGCAACAACAAGCACCGACCACCAAGTGGTACCTCCGTCGGCCATGTCTCTATCGGCTAGGCAAAGGTCTGGGGGACTGTATCGGCCTCCAAAAAAGATCCCAAGACAAACAAGTTCAAAAAATGATGGACCAAGAGCCACGAACGTCCTCAGACATGTGATCCACCGTCTGCCAAAATGACAAGGACACCACGGACGTCCACTTTCGGCCAATGTCAAAAGCACAAAGAACATCCATCGTCCTCAAGATGAAGGACGCTCATCGTCCTCGAAATAAAGGACGTTCCTCGTCCTCAAAATGAAGGACGCTCCTCGTCCTCAAAATGAAGGACATCCATCGTCCTCAAGATGAAGGACACTCATCGTCCTCGAAATAAAGGACGTTCCTCGTCCTAAAAAAGAAGGACGCTCCTCGTCTTCAAAATGAAGGACGTTCATCGTCCTCAGAATGAAGGACTTCCATCATCCTGAAGATGAAGGACACTCATCGTCCTCGAAATAAAGGACGCTCCTCATCCTCAAAATGAAGGACGTTCATCGTCCTCGAAATGAAGGACAAAAGGCGGCCAACAATTATGGCACCGCCTCGGTCTCAAAGTGAAGGACGTTCCTGATGGCTCAACTATGGCACCGCCTCGGCCAGAAACACCAGAACTCCAAGGTAATCCTCCGAAGGCCAAAAGCATCAAGACAACAAGGATCTACTCCCTTTCATTTCATCTACGTCTCAGCTAAGAGAGTGGGGGACTCCTAATGAAGTATATGGGTCCACACCGTATGACCCACATACTTCCACTGCTACGAATAAGGCCAAGGCCCCGGGGACGTACGTCCTCCAGCACGTAACAATCACCCGGGGACGAACGGCCTCCAGCACTCCATCAGCCAGACGTACGTCTCTAGGGACTTCGTCTACCATAGCCAGACGTACGTCTCCAAGGACTTCTTCTGCCACAGCCAGACGTACGTCTCCAAGGACTTCGTCTGCCACTGCCAGACGTACGTCTCCAAGGACTTTGTCTGCCATGGCCAGACGTACGTCTCCAAGGACTTCGTTTGCCACACCTCTGTCAGCCAAACGTACATCTCCAATGAGTTCGTCTTCCACAGCCGGACGTACGTCTCCAAGGACTTCGTCTTCCACAGCCGGACGTACGTCTCCAAGGACTTCGTCTGCCACACCTCCATCGGCCAGACATACGTCTCCAGGGACTTCGTCTATCATAGCCAGACGTACGTCTCCAAGGACTTGCATACTTAGCTCATGTATCTGAATGTAATCAGCCCAGTAGAGGCTTTATATTGTAATGGGTCTCCCAAGCCCAAGACTTGGGAGCCCAGCCCGCTTTTCTCAATAAATACTCCCCTTGGGAGTAGTTGTAAAGGTTCGAAAATCAATAATACAAATCACTTCTCTCTCTAGCTCTCACTTCTCTCTAGACATATAATCTATCAATTACATTCACTCTTAATATTAATATTATCCTGATTAATATTTGAAGCAGAAAAACGTATCAGTTCCTTCCCATCAAACATGCATTGTCAACTTTGTATTGAGTGTTAAATGAAAAAAAAGTAAAAGTATGTGATTGAGATTTGTGCACAAGAGAAAAAAATGAGCTAAACAATTAGTTCATTACTATAAAAGGAAAATGGTAAAATTTTTGAGACAAAGAAAGAAAAAAGTTGGCAAAGCTCTATCGGAAGTGTATATATATATATATATATATATATACTCCCTCCGTCCCTAAATAAACGCATCTGTTTCCTTTTTGGGCCGTCCCTAAATAAAGGTTCCCTTTCCTTTTTTGGCAAACAAAATAGTGCAAAACAGTGCAAAATAGTGCCAAACAGTGTCAAACAGTGTCCAAGCAGTGTCAAACAGTACCAATCAAGCCCACTTTCTTAAAATGTGTGGAAAACGAATGGATACTCTTATATAGGGACGGAGGGAGTATACCATATGATCCAATAAAGCAACCCGTGGAGACAACATGGCGAGAGGCGGCTTTTGCGGCTAGTTTGACATCCCAAACAAATAAGAGCTATAAGAGCACAACCAATACCGATTGCTTCTATAACCTGAATTACGGTGTCTACCTGCAACAGATACCACACCCATTAAAGAAAATTATTTATGCATTTTTCAAAAATAACATATACGGAGTATTATCTTTGTTCCATTGAACATTAACAAATTTGTATCACGTTTTGCATAAGTAAAATAAAAGTTGTGTGATTGAGAATCGTACAAATGAGAAAGAAATATACACAATTACAAAAAATTAAATACTTTAATGAAAAAATAACAAAGTTTTTGAAACAAAGGAAAAAGAAAAGTGTCAAAGTGAGATGGAAGAATATGTTTTTTCCTAATAGGTGACATCTGCCACCTATGGACACGATGTGACATTTTTCTTTTTCTTATTTCGTTCCATATGTATGTGATCATATCTTAAGAAATAATAATATAATTCATAATCATATTTTGAGAGTTTGCATAAGTTTTAGTCCTACTCATGAATTTTCCCCTAGCTACACATTACCTAGTAATCAATATGTTCGTATAATTTTTCCTAGTATAATTACCCTAGGTATGACTAAAACATTATATAAATTCGTACTATTTAATTAATTTATTAATAAATAAATAAATAAATATTTTTTTATGGACTAATATGCCCTTAAGAGTTACTCCGTAAGATATTATTATAAAACCCTAAACTCCTATTTCTTTTCTCCAACCCTAAGCTTCCCTAATCTCCATCCGTCCAACCGCCCACCTATGTACCGCATCTCGCCGCCTGCCACCCATTGCCCGCCGTCCAGCCGCCGCCCGCCTTCCAGACGCACCTGCCGTCCAGCCGCTATCCCGTTGTTCGTCACCTCGCCAAGTTGGAACGATTTAACAGATGCAACAGATAATAATATAAAAGTGTGTTTGAATTTGAACAGAAAGAAGGGCGAGGCCAGAGAAGCAGAGAAGACTCCGATGACGGCGTTCAAGAAGCGGCAGCACCGGACAACTCTGGTTTCCTTCGATCTGGCTCTGTTTGTGAAGTTTGTTACTACTGGTAGATGATATTAGATCTGAGTGACGTCGCCCAAGCCTATTAATTTTTTCTATGATTTAGGTTTCTTTTCTTCATTCTTTTTTGTGAATTTTGCACAATTGCACTTCGAACAGTTGTCCGTAGCATCATAAGGAGGACCCCTTTTGAGGAGCGCAGGGGATTTTTAATTAAGGCTCTTCTTATGATGAGTCAATTCAGGATTATGGCATTGAACATTGACAAAGAATATGACAATAAGTATTGAGTGTGATAGTGAATATGGCAATATATATATTGTATACGGTAGTGAATGAATGCATTAGGGAATTTTGTTGTGCATTGATTATGACTTAAGTGCAGTAATACAGAGCAGTAATTTCACCATTAAACGCAATATACTTAATTAGACGTAAAATAATAAAATTATAAAATCTAAAAAAATAAAAAATAAAAACTATAAATAATTTCGTAAAGTAAATGAGAAGAGAATTAATTTTGGCGGAAGTGCAGTGATTTTTACTGGAAGTGCAGTAATGTCATGCAGTAATATCATGCAGTAATGTTGTGCAGTAAAGACAATATAAAGTGCAGTAATTCTAATTGGACGAAATTAGTGAAAATGCATATATTTTCTATAGGGGTATTTTCGTCATTCAATATTTAAACATACACGATTTTTTTTTTGAATTTTCGATCATATAAAAGTCCAAAAACTAGTTAGGTCATAGATTGGGAAACTCATTAAGTTTTAGTAATATCCTAGGAAATTTCCCGTAAGGCCTCCTCCATTCTCTTTATGTTCTGTTTCCCAGATTTAAATAATAGAAGACGAAAGCGTTGCCCGGCATTTTTCACACTGAAAGATATTGTTTTTCCGGGCACAAAAAAATTAACAAAAAAAAAAACCTTGAAAAAATTACCCATCATCCAATTAATCTCAAATAATAAACTAATGGATAGGGATGCCTTAAGGGAAAGACATAATATATACTCGTATAAAGAAATTGCTCAAAGAAGAGGACTAACTAATATTTAGGCAACTTTAATGTATCTATTATGTACCTTTGGAGGGACATGGGCTACCCAGGCGAAGATCCCAAAAATTGCTGCCACAGCATTCCCTGCTGCAATAGCCCATGCTGCAACAGTTTCTGTTCTTGCCATTTTATCGCCTGTACGTTAGTGGGTGGTTAGTGAGCTAACAATGTTTTATATATATTTTGATCAACTAAGAGTATAATTCTTAATTTGGGAGC